AGGGACGCACCTCACTCTTGAAAATCGTGATGAGCGACGGACCATCCAGTTATCTAAACTACCTTCTTACAAGACCTACTAGATTCGTTGCCCGATTCACCTTCTTCTCACCATGGCCCGAGAACTTAAGTTCATTGTCGACATACACACCTAGGTCCTTTTCATATTCGGTCTCAATTAATGTAGTTTCTTCGTCCTGTTGGGACATGTGATACGCCTCCTTACTGTTGGTGCGACCCAGGTGTATGTGCAATGTGCATCCTCTTGCACTTCGTGATCTTCGCAGCCATTTCTTTGACCATTCTTGAAGCTCATAGAGATCTTTCTGGAGCTCTTCATAGTCTGTTTGGTTCTTAATTTTCCTAAATAACTTTGGCATTCTTTATCAAACTTGTCTATGTTGCTTTCAAGCTCACCTACAGTCTTAAGTAATTCCTTTACTTGTTCCATACATTCTGTGTAAAGAAACATGGCGTGCTTATTGTCAGAACCTGAGATGCATTCCTAAGCTCTAAATAGCTCCTTTGTTATTCCTAAGCTCTAAATAGCTCATTAGTTATTCCTAAGCATCCTTCTAGATGGGTGTACAAGATCCTGGAACAGTACAGTACTGTGACTGGTAAAAGGTGCGAGGCTATGACGTCCCTTAGCATAATATGTGAGCAGATATTGAAGGTATTGAGGGTGATATATACCCAAGGTTCCCAACTGGCTGGGTCTTGTGTGTATCATATACGATAGCATGTTAGTTGCTGTCCAATGATTTAAGAGTTTGTGATATTTCCTCAAATTGATGCCATAACCTACGAACTTTTATGGTGCAGCATTTTATTACTTTTCTGATAAGTTTGTATGAAAATGCAACAAATTATTTATTGATAGAATTTCTCACACTGATGCATTTGTTTTTTACTGACACAGTTGGCACAGATCCAGCACTCATAACACACCGAGACAAGTGTCAGATGGGAAACCTTCTTTTATACGATTTGTGGGTGGATGACCTGTGACCTACATCAAGGGGGCACTTGTATACAGTAGTTTATCTCCTTTGTAGTGTTACATTTTTGTTGGTTTTCAGTTTACTTGATAATGATGTTTCCATATTGTATCACTCGGTTAATCTTTTATGTTTATGTCAGTAAACTGCTGTGTCGGTTTTACAGTGTCTTACAGTACAGGTGCACTCTCAGTACCACAGCACAGTGCAGTACTCTCAGTTTCACAGCACCACAGCAGGTGCAGTACTTCAGTTTACACAGTGTCCACAGCACAGGCAGCACTCAGTTTACATGTCTTACAGCACAGGCAGTACCCACTCATGTCTACAGCACACAACCTGGCTCACAGCACAGACAGGCAGTACTCTCAGTTTACACAGTCTCACAGTACAGGGCAGCACTCAGTTTACAGTGTCTCACAGCACAGGCAGTACTCAGTTCAGTCGTCTCACAGCACAGGCAGCACCCCAGTTTACAGTGTCTACAGCACAGGGTGCAGCACTCTCAGTTTCACAGTGTCTTACAGCAGGGTGCAGCACTTAGCTCACATGTCTTCACAGCACAGGTGCAGCACTCTGTCTACAGTGTTTACAGCACAGGCGTGCACTCAGTTTACAGTGTCTTACAGCCGTGCAGTACTCTCAGTTTACAGTGTCTTACAGTACAGGGTGCAGTACTCTCAGTTTACAGTGTCTTACAGTACAGGGTGCAGTACTCTCAGTTTACAGTGTCTTACAGTACAGGGTGCAGTACTAGTTTGGAATTCGATATAACAAAATCTCAATTTAGCGGATGGAATTTTTTTCCCTTATTTTTCGCTTGATTTAATGAACTAGTTCGCTAAATTGAGATTAATTCCATTAATGCACCCACACCTACAAAGGCACATGATATACCAATAGTCACAGGAAACATTATTCATGGCTTACCTTATACTAGGGGTTCAGTGTTTGTTTTCATTTTCTTTTCTATTACAGGGTATTTCCTAATTTTTCCAAGATATTACCCCTTTTTAACTTTCTTCCCCAGACCACTTCCTTTCTGAGAGACTTTCGGCATGATGACTGAGCACATTAGTTAGTTGACCGACAGGTAGCAGTGAACAACACAGGCGGTGGCGGGAGGACACCGATCGAGTGAATGGAAACAAACCCCACGCGCCAAGTTGCGCATTTGGTGTCGAATTTAATGGAATCACGCCCAGCTTTGAGGAATTAATTTTTCGATTAGTATTTGTGTCACAAATTCTGCTAAAATTGGAAAACTTACTTTAATCTGAGTTGTGTTAGGTTAGGTTAGGTTAGGTACATGCACTTGATCTATTAACTCAGATTAAATTAAGTTTACCAATTTTTTGTGACTTCCTGACACCAAATACCAGTTGAGAAGTGATTAGCAGTCCGATTTATTCATGTAGGACCATTATTTGACTTCATTGCGGCTACATTTGGGTACATTTGGGTAATTAGTCGGACCCAGTGAACTAGTTCGCTAAATCTAACGAAAAGGACGGAAATTCGATTTTGCTGAAACTTTGAATTAATGGAAAGGGGCGGCTCTAGCTAGTTCATTAAATCAAGAAAATACTAGTATACTGAATTGATGATTGCTTCTCTTTTAGAAGTACAGTACAGTATATTAATATATTTTTATTAATAGAATTTGTCTATTAATACTAAAGCAAACATAATTCCAGCATAACAAAATGGAGGCGGGTCATGAGTTGCTTAAATCAGCTGTAGTCGCTGCTGCCTGATAAAGGTTGATGACTACTGTGGCAGAAAAGGTATTAAAGCCACATACCACGGGCCGGTGGTCAAAACTTCACACTCTTACCTTGAGGCAGTAGTTCACCACCATCTTACCTTGAGGCAGTAGCTCACCACCATCTTACCTTGAGGCAGTAGTTCACCACCATCTTACCTTGAGGCAGTAGCTCACCACCATCTTACCTTGAGGCAGTAGTTCACCACCATCTTACCTTGAGGCAGTAGCTCACCACCATCTTAGCCTTGAGGCAGTAGCTCACCACCATCTTACCTTGAGGCAGTAGCTCACCACCATCTTACCTTGAGGCCGTAGCTCACCACCATCTTACCTTGAGCAGTAGTTCACCACCATCTTACCTTGAGGCAGTAGCTCACCACCATCTTACCTTGAGGCAGTAGCTCACCACCATCTTACCTTGAGGCGTAGTTCACCACCATCTTACCTTGAGGCATAGTTCACCACCATCTTACCTTGAGAGCGTGAATTTCACCACCATCTTCACCCTGAGCAGTGTTCACCACCACCATCTTACGAGGCAGTAGTTACCCACCATCTTACCTTGAGGCAGTAGTTCACCACCATCTCACCTTGAGCAGTGGCTCACCACCATCTTACCTTGAGCAGTAGTTCCACCATCTTACCTTGAGGCAGTAGTTCCACCATCTTACCTTGAGGCATTAGTTCACCACCATCTTACCTTGAGCAGTAGCTCACCACCATCTTACCTTGAGGCAGTAGTTCACCACCATCTTACCTTGAGGCAGTAGTTCACCACCATCTTACCTTGAGGCAGTAGTTCACCACCATCTTACCTTGAAGCAGTGGTTCACCACCATCTTACCTTGAGCAGTAATTCACCACCATCTTACCTTGAGGCAGTATCACCACCATCTTACCTTGAGGCAGTAGTTCACCACCATCTTACCTTGAGCAGTAGTTCACCACCATCTTACCTTGAGGCAGTAGCTACCATCTTACCTTGAGGCAGTAGTTCACCCATCTTACCTTGAGGCAGTAGTTCACCACCATCTTACCTTGAGGCAGTAGTTCACCACCATCTTACCTTGAGGCAGTAGTTCACCACCATCTTACCTTGAGGCAAGTAGTTCACCACCATCTTACCCAGCAGGGCAGTAGCTCACCACCATCTTACCTTGAGGCAGTAGCTCACCACCATCTTACCTTGAGGCAGTAGTTCACCACCATCTTACCTTGAGGCAGTAGTTCACCACCATCTTACCTTGAGGCAGTAGTTCACCACCATCTTACCTTGAGGCAGTAGCTCACCACCATCTTACCTTGAGGCAGTAGCTCACCACCATCTTACCGAGGCGTAGTTCACCACCATCTTACCTTGAGCAGTAGTTCACCACCATCAACGAGGCAGTAGCTCACCACCATCTTACCTTGAGGCAGTAGTTCACCACCATCTTACCTTGAGGCAGTAGCTCACCACCATCTTCTTGAGGCGTAGCTCTACCATCTTACCTTGAGGCAGTAGCTCACCACCATCTTACCTTGAGGCAGTAGTTCACCACCATCTTACCTTGAGGCAGTGGCTCACCACCATCTTACCTTCTTGAGGGCTCACCACCATCTTCAGCAGGGCAGTAGCTCACCACCATCTTACCTTGAGGCGGTAGTTCACCATCTTACCTTGAGGCAGTAGCTCACCACCATCTTACCTTGAGGCAGTAGCTCACCACCATCTTTACCCTGAGGCAGTAGTTCACCACCATCTTACCTTGAGGCAGTAGCTCACCACCATCTTACCTTGAGGCAGTAGTTCACCACCATCTTACCTTGAGGCAGTAGTTCACCACCATCACCTTGAGGCAGTAGCTCACCACCATCTTACCTTGAGCAGTAGTTCACCACCATCTTACCTTGAGCAGTAGTTCACCACCATCTTACCTTGAGGCAGTGAGTTCACCACCATCTTACTGCAGGCAGTAGCTCACCACCATCTTACCTTGAGGCAGTAGCTCACCACCATCCTTACCTTGAGCAGTAGCTCACCACCATCTTACAGAGGCAGTAGTTCACCACCATCTTGCCTTGAGGCAGTAGTTCACCACCATCTTGCAGCAGGCAGTAGTTCACCACCATCTTACCTTGAGGCAGTAGTTCACCACCATCTACCTTGAGGCAGTAGCTCACCACCATCTTACCTTGAGGCAGTAGTTCACCACCATCTTACCTTGAGGCAGTAGTTCACCACCATCTTACCTTGAGGCAGTAGCTCTCTCAGGGCAGCAGGTGTACAGTCGGCCCACATAAGGACGGTCACCAGAACAGCTCCAACTACTATGGTTACCACCTTATAAGGTTTCGTCTTGGTAGACCAAACTCCTAAAACAAAATTAAATATTTGTAGAAATTGATATGAAAGTTCACACTGCAAAAGGTAATAAAAGGATTCAATAATGGCACATTATTGAATAAAGACTACTGGTTGGGTTATTTAAATCAAATTGATTTAAACCAAAGATAAAAAAAATATTTAAAAATCACAGTTTGGTTCTTACAGTACAGTATATGCTAAATGTAAAAGGAAGTAAAAATTAAATAATTGCTTATGCTGTACAGTATTATTTTAAACCAATCACTCATAGAAACAAATATGTTCTTATAACACAGAAGCTTACATAATTAAACACAAGGGACCTTCACTTTCGTAATGCTCATCATTCATTTCTGGCAACAGATATTACAACATTTGTTTTGGGACTCAAACACAAGTTCAAGAAATAATGTCATACGCATGAGAGAAGTGGCATGTTACCTACCCATATCCCAGCTACAGCTCACCCTTCCTCTACTCTGGAAAAAATATAAATATTTATATATTAATAACAGTAATACCATCATAACTTAAAAAAACATTATACACTATTATTTTAACTCAAGTTACAACACCACACCCTACAGAACACCACACCCTGCACACCACCACACTCTGCACAACACCACACCCTGCACACCACCACACCCTGCACACCACCACACCCTGCACACCACCACCCTGCACACCCACCACCCTGCACCACCACACCCTGCACCACCACACCTGCACACCACGACCTGCACACCACCACACCCCACACCACCACCCTGCAGACACCACACCCTGCACACCCACCACACCCCTGCACGCCACCACACCTGCACAACCACACCTGCACAACACCACACCCTGCACCACCACCTGCTGCACCACACCCTGAACAACACACACCCTGCACACCACCACACCCTGCAGAACACACCCCCTGCACACCACCACACCTGCACACACCACCACACCCTGCACACCACCACACCAGAGCCACCACACCCCTGCCAACACCACACCCTGCACACCACCACACCCTGCACCACCACCCTCTGAACACCACACCCTCCAGAACACCCACACCTCGCACACCACCACACCCTGCACACCAGCATGCAGAACACCACACCCTGCACACCACCACACCCTGCACAACACCACACCCTGCACAACACCACCTGCCTGCACCACACCCCGCCCGCCACCCACTGCACAACACCACACCCTGCACCACCACACCCTGCACACCACCACCTGCACACCACCACACCCTGCAACACCACACCCTCCACAACACCACACTCTGCCTGCACCACCACACCCTGCACAACACACCCTCCAGCCTGCCCCTGCACCTGCACCACCACCACCACCCTCCCAACACCACACCTGCACAACACCACCTGCACACCACAGCACAACACCACACCCTGCACCACCACACCCTGCACCACCACACCCTGCACACCACCACACCTGCACACCCCTGCACACCACACCCCTGCACCACCACACCCTGCACCACCACAACCCCTGCACACCACCACACCTGCACACCACCACACCTGCAGAACACCACACCCTGCACACCACCACACCCTGCACAGCACCACACCTGCAGCACCACACCCTGCAGCACCACACCTGCACCACACACCTGCACAACACCACACCTGACAACACCACCCCTGCACACCACCACCCTGCAGAACCACCACACCCTGCACACACACACCTGCACACCACCACACCCTGCACACCACCACACCATGCAGAACCACCACCTGCAACACCACACCCTGCACACCACACACCCTGCACACCACACCCCTGCACACCACCACCTGCACAACACCACCTGCACAACACCACCCTGCACACCACCACCCTGCAGACACCCGCACCCCACTGCACCACCACACCCTGCACCACCACCTGCACACCCACACACACCATACGCACCACCACCTGCAACCCACCTACACACCACCACCTGCACCACACACCTGCAGAACACCACACCCTGACACCACCTGCACACACCACCACACCCTGCACAACAGCACCCCTGCACACCACCACACCCCTGCACCACCACCTGCACACCACCACCCCACACCCCACTACAGCACCACACCCTCTGCACACCTGCACCACACCTGCACCACCACACCACCCACCACCTGCAACCACACCCTCCACAACCACACTCCCCACTGCACACCCACCTGCAACACACCACACCCTGCAACCACCACACCCTGCACACCACCCTGCACACCACCACACCTCCTGACACCACTCTGCACACACCACCACACCCTGCTACACCACACCTCCACCACCCTGCCTGGCCACCTGCACCACCACTGCACCACCACACCTGCACGCCACACCCTGCACCACACCCACACCCTCCACAACACCACCCCTGCCACCACCACACTGCACAACACCACCCTCCGACACCACACCCTGCACACCACCCACCTCCACACACCACACACTGCCACACACCACCTCCTGACACCACACCACCCCCTGCACAACCTGCACCACCCACACACCTGCACCACCACACTGCAACCTCCACACCTGCACACCACCACCCTGCTAACACCACCACCACACCTCCTACACCACACCTGCACCACCACCACCTCTGTACCCCCTCTGCACCACACCCTGCACACCACCATCCACCCTCCACAACACACACCCTGCACACTCACCACACCCTGCAAAACTACACATACCATCACACCCATCCTCCACACCACATCATACCCTCCACTACACACATCCTCTCTACTACACCACATCCTCCACTACACCCATCTTCCACCCACATCCTCCACTACACCACCATCCTCCACTACACTACATCCTCCACTACCACATCTCCCTTCACTACCATCCTCCCACCCTACCCATCCTCCACTCACACCACATCCTCACTACACCACATCCTCCACTACACTACCCATCCCCCCTCCACTACACATCCTCCCACTACCCATCCTCCCTACACTACCATCCTCCACTACACCACCATATCCTCCTACACCACATCCTCCCTCCCTACACTACCACATCTCCCTTTACACCACATCCTCCCTACACCACATCTTCCACTTACACCACATCCTCCACTACACCACCACATCCTCCACTACCACATCCTCCACTACACCCATCCCCCACTACACATCCTCCACTACACTACCACATCCTCCACCCATCCTCCACTACCACCACATCCTCCACCACATCCTCACATCCTCCACTACAACACTCCCTCCCACCCTCCACTACACTCCACACACTCCACATCCTCCCATCCTCCACTACACCACATCCTCCACTACACCCACCTCCCACCACATCCTCCACTACACACCTCCACCCATCCTCCACTACACCACCACATCCCCTTCACTACACACATCCTCCACACCCATCCTCCCTACACTCACATCCTCCTACACTACCCATCCTCCACTACTACATCCTCCACTACACACACATCCTCCACTACACTACCATCTCCTCCACCACATCCTCACCACCCATCCTCCACTACCACATCCTCCACTACACTACCACATCCTCACTACCCCATCCTCCCTACACTACCACATCCTCCACTACACCCATCCTCCCTCCCATCCTCACTACACACCACATCCTCCCACTACACCATCCTCCTCACTACCCACATCCTCCACTACACCCTCCTCCCTACACTACCCATCCTCCCACTACACATCCTCCACTACACACATCCCTCCACACATCCTCCACTACATACCTCCTCCCCATCACCCACCACATCCCTCCACCCACATCCTCCCCTCCACTACATCCTCCCTCCTCCCACATCCCTCCACTACACTACATCCTCCACTACACCACATCCTCCCACTACACATCCTCCACTACACATCCCCTCCCACCCTACACCATCCTCCACTACCCCATCCTCCACTACACCACCATCCTCCATACACCACATCCTCCACACCACATCCCTCCACCCACCACATCCTCCACACACCATCCTCCACTACACCCACATCTCCTCACTTACTACCACATCCTCCACTACTACATCCTCCACTACATCTCCACTACACCACATCCTCCACCACACTCCACTACCATCTCCACTACACCCACATCCTCCCTACACCACATCCTCCCACACTACCCATCCTCCACTACACCCACATCCTCCCTACACTACCATCCTCCACCCTCCACATCTCCTACATCACTCACTACCCACATCCTCCACTACACACATCCTCCACTACACCACATCCTCCACTACACATCCTCCCACTACCACATCCTCCACTACACCATCCTCCCTTACTACCACATCCTCCACTACACCCACATCCTCCTACACCCACATCCTCCACTACCACATCCTCCTCACATCCTCCACTACACTACCACATCCTCCACCACACCCTCCACACTACCATCCTCCTACACCCATCCTCACTACCACCTCCTACCCATCCTCCACTACCATCCTCCACTACCATCCTCCACCACACCACATCCTCCCACTACCCACATCCTCCCTACACTACATCCTCCCTACACCCATCCTCCACTACACTACATCCTCCTACACCACATCTCCACTACACCTACCACATCCTCCACTACACATCCTCCACACACCACATCCTCCCTACTCCTACCACCCATCCTCCTACACCACATCCTCACTACCCCATCCTCCACTACCACATCCTCCACTACACCACCATCCTCCCACTACCATCCTCCCTCCCATCCTCCACTACACTCCTCCACTACACTACCACATCCTCCACCCTCCTCCACCACCACCCACATCCTCCACTACCACATCCTCACTACACACCACATCCTCCCACTACACCACATCCTCCACTACCCACATCACCACACCACCATCCTCCACTACACCACATCCTCCCACCACATCCTCCCCCACATCCTCCACCTACCACATCCTCCTACCCATCCTCACCTCCTCCCCCCATCCTCCACTACCTACCACATCCTCCCCCTCCCACATCCTCCACTACACCATCCTCCACACATACTCCCCTCCTCCCATCTCCCCACACCACATCCTCCACTACCATCCTCCTACACTACACTCACTACCTCATTTTGAAGCCATGTGCACTTGATATTAGGAGATATTCTGAGGTTCACTATATATTACTTTTTACTATACAAAAACTCCTGAGTACAATACTGCATTAAAAAGAAAAATATTGGAATTTTCTGCAGAAAAGGAGGGGTCCAAAGCCCTAGGATCCCCTTGATCTACCCTTGAGCATACCAAATCTCTCATATACACCATATGTATGTTGACGATGCTCACCATAACAAGCTTCAACTGTTTTAACACTCATAGCTCGTAGTGTTAGCTATGGTTATATCAGTGTACATAGACTATTTTCTTAATAAAAGGAGAAAAGACCTTTGGGTTTCCTTGCTTAACCTCAAACCATTTCTTGTTGTAACTTCTAGTTCAATTGCTGAATCTCCAGGAGCCATTCATCAGTGGTATTGTATACTCTGCTGATTGATTTAAAAGGTGTACATAACATTTACGAGTTGTAAGTAAGCTACTGTAGGTATACCGAGATGTAGTTCTAATAAGTTACTCACAATTATGAGTTTGTGCTGGTAGCGGCGAATGTGGTGGTGGTACGTCATGAAACAAGAGCAAGTGTGAGGATACACCTGTCCCCCCAGCGTTAACTAGTTACGGCCAGATAATCTTAACACCTGTGATGCCGGCTGATGAAGGTATACGTGTCTCTCTCTCTGTGTCTGTCACACACACACACACACACACACACACACAAATGATTGATTATCAGACCATAGCTTATAGCCCAGAGAATTACAACACATATAGCAGGGAGTGTGTACAGGCCTGGTGGTACCCCAACATACCAGGTGTTACTCCGTCTCTTAATTTACTTTAATATCCAGGTTCTAGGCGTAACCAAACAGTAAAAGTGAAGTAAATTAAAAGGGAATAAAAATAAATAAAGTAAACCTTTAAGAATTTAATTAATTAAATATTAACACAATAAAGAGCCTCGTAAGCTGTCACAACAAATTGATTCACCATCGAAACTTTTAAGACACAAATGATACTAAACATCGAAACATCAAAAGAATAATAATAAAGCATTGGATTACGTTAACACTGCATAAACATATAAAAACTAGCACTGAAATTAACTAACGTGAAACACTGAATTACTTAAATGTAACTAAGTATATACTGATGGACATAGAGACATAAATAGGTACTCACATAGATATACCACATTGGTGGTGACAGGAACAGCACAAATAAATTAATTAAGTATAAGTAACAGGTGACGAGTGTCACTCAAAGGATGTGAACTGTATGACAAGAGGACTGAACTGCCTCTGTCTACAGGTGGAGTACTATATATATGGTCGGTTGGCGCCAGGCGACCAGCAGGTGAACATGGGTCGTTTAACGATGTAGATGGTCGTTAGAGCAACACAGAATGCTTGTTACAATACTAAATGAAGAAATAAGATGGGCTTGAACATATAATAACAGTTAAAATCTTAACAGAACAGGGTAAGGTGACTAGATAATATAATAGTAAATATAACACATCATTACAGGAATAATATGGAACATGGAAGCATGTTGTATAACAAAAAAAAATAGAAAAATAAGACATGGTCGTAACACAGGTTAACACACCCTGGGTCAGGAACCAAGGGACCTGACCTCGTCCACTAATTACTTGAGTTAGCAGGTGACTTAACCTACAACCACACCTGGCCAAGACACACCCGGGCATGACCACAGCTGTCCAGATCTAACCAGTTTAGTGTTAATTGGCGGAGGTCCCTCTGGCTGTTGAGCCCCCATATATAGGCCCTGAAGTCCTGTCCACGAGGCCATTCTGGTCATTCTTATTCTGATTCGGGTCACTCATTATTCTCGTCCGACTCATCTCTCTCCCGTTTGGGTCGTCATTCTGTTCACTCACACAGAGTCACGCTCGTCTCCCCCAGGTCGGGAGGGAGACTTCCCGCCTGACCCCTGCGTCACCAGCTAGCGAGTCTCCCATAGAAGACAGCCCAGCCAGCACCCACTGGGCCTCCGTCAGGTCAAATGTGAGTCTTGTCAGAACTATCCCTAGGGTGAGTTACCTACTGTGGGAAGTGTATTCATTCCATGTTTGTGTCCGAGAGTCAGTGTCGAGTAACGTAAACATAATGTGCTAGTAACTCCGATATAATATTGATATTAATGTGTCCATGTCATTGAGTGAATTAATAAATAGTTGTATCGAAGTGGTGTTTGAGAAGTTGTTCCTTAAGGACGTAATGTAGTACTGTATATATGTATTGACGTATAAGATAAATGAGTATAAATAACTAACCAACGCTACCAAATTTCCTCTCTTTACATTCCTCTTACTATAAATATTCTACCTATATGCAATTTCTTTGTGATCGCTGTTTGAGGTTCGTTCCTACCTCGACATTGCTATTACAGGGTTTCTCTGTTCGACAGAACTAAATATACTAGTTTAGTTCTGTCGAACAACCTCAATGCTATCCGAACTTTAACTGCGTCTAAAAAATCATTCAGTTGATTTTTCAGGGCAGACATGGGAAAATTCCACTAAAGTACCAGATTTCAGAAGGCAAACTTTGACAGTTAAGAGACAGCTGAGAGAGGATGTCGGCGCTGGCCATGAACCTGACAGATGACACCGACCTGATAACGAGATCTGACATTGTCGAGTTCCCGACATTTAAATAGTGAGTTACTTAATACAAAGGCAGAACATACCATACAAAACTCAGATCAGACAACAATGACTAAATGGATAAATAATTATTTAAAGAACATCATTGGCCAAAGGAAGGCTATAGGTAGAAGGATAAAATCGTGCGAAATTCACCTCCGGGAACTATTATAGGATTTGGCGGTAGGGTTAAAACCGAGATAAGGAAAGCAAGAGGAATAATTAAAGAGATAGCAAGGGAGGCGAACAAACCCCAAAGGATGCTACCAAATGTATCAAACTAAAAAACGAGAAAAGATTGGACAATCCGGTCAGACTCCGCAGCGAGCTCACTGATAACGAGGAGAAATGAGCAATAATTTTAAATATATTTTCAACAGTTTTCCACGAAAATTTAAACATGATACCCGAGGCACAGACTCTATTCAGAGATAGTGAAGAAAACAAATTAAGTGAGATAGTAGTGACTAGTAACGATGTTAGTAAGCAAATAGACAAACTAAAGCCTAATAAGTCACCTGGTCGATGAGATATTTGCCAGAGCATTAAAGGAATGTAAGGAAGAGCTTAGTATGCCCTTAGGAAAGTTGTTTAACATGTCCTTAAAACAGGTGTAGTACCAGAATCCAGGATAGCAGATGTAATACCGATTTTCAAGAAGGAGGATAGATCACTATCCTCTAACTACCGCAATCAGTCTAACATCAATAGTAGGCAAATTACTAGAAGCAATCATTTCAAACTCTATTCAATCACCTGGAGAAGCCGATTGATCAATGATTCCAGCATGGCTTCACAAGTGGATGTGGTATATCTCTACTTAGCAAAGCCTTTGACAGAGTCCCCAAGAATTAGAAAGGTAAAGCTCATGGCATCAAGGTGACATCCAAATGGATGGCGTGGTTACAGGACAGAAACAGCGAGTGAGCACTAACTGCACTAAGTCCCATTGAGCAACGTCTGTGAGTTCCCCAAGGCTCAGTACGACCATTATTATTTATTATATACATAAACGATATAGATATCGGCATGAACAGCAACATAAGTAAATTTGCTGATGACACTAAAATAAAGTGTTATCAAATCTGACGAGACTCGGCAAAACTACAGGAAGATCTAAACAAATTTTTCGAATGGTCTGAAAAATGGCAGATGAAATTCAACATGGACAAATGTAAAATACTCAGTATAGGAGATGTAAACAGAAACCAGATACCAGATGAACAACGATGCCGTAGAAATCCGACTCTGCGAGAGATTTAGGAGTAATGATAAGTAGGAACTTAAGCCAAGTAAACAATGTGTTTTTCGTAACAAGGCTAATAAAAGTACTTGGGTTCATACAAGAGTGTTAGTTACAGGACTAGAGGTCATCCTAAACTGTATCTTCTCTTGTGAGACCACACCTGGATTACGCAGTTCAGTTCTGGTCACATCATTACAGAATGGATATAGAATCCTGGAAAGAATTCAGAAAGAATGACAAGACTAATCACGGGCATTAGGAACCTGAGTATAGAGACAGGTTAATGCATAATTATTTCACTCCCGCGAGAGACGTAGAGCGAGGGGCGACCTGATAGAGGTGTATAAGTGGAAGGCAGAAACAAAGGGACATTACAAAGGTACTCAAATTATCCAACCAGAACTCGTAACAATGGTTTTAAATTAGACAAATTTAGATTTAGGCGTGAAATTGGTCAACACTGGTTTGGAAACAAAGTAGTGATGAATGGAACAAGTTACCAAATATCATCTTAACTCGAATACACTGAATTGCTTCAAACATAGGTTGGATATACCCTTGAGCAATAGGGTTGGGTATAAACAGGACTGCCCAGTATGGGTCAATAGGCCCGCTGCAGTTTCCTCCATTCTTATGTTCTTATAGTTCTTATATTTATCTTCTGCGAGTTTTGACTTTTTACACACACACACACACACACACACACACATATATATATATATATATATATATATATATATATATATATATATATATATATATATATATATATATATATATATACACATATATACTACCATGTAATTCACATCTTGAGGGGTGAGTACAGACAAGAAGGAGCGTGAGATAAGTCCCTAGGGACAGCAGGTGGCCACCATATTCAGGTCATAAGGAAGTGACAAATCTTGTTAATCACAAAATTGTCCAATTTGTACATACCATTACTCAAATTCATGTTGACAGATTCAGTATGTTTAATGAGGCTTGATTCTATAATGTTGCTACTGACAATTGAATTACAAGGTTAGATTAAGGAGGCATTAACCCAGTCAATGCAATGCTTATTATCTCTCATATGAATGAACAAAGCATAGGATTCCTAGACTGTCCTAATACTATATGTTGTTTAAGTCTAGCTATAAGACCCTTTCCCATCTGACCTAAGTAGAATACGAGTTGTTACGACCGTGTCGTATTTTTCTATTTTTTTTTTATATAACATACTCCCATGTTCCATATTATTCCTGTAATGATGTGTTAAATTTACTATTATATATTCTAATCACCTTACCCTGTGCTGTTAAGGTTTTAACTGTCATTATTTGTTCAAGCCCATCTTATTTCTTTATTTTGTATTGTAACCAGCATTCTTTGTTCTCTAACGACCATCTGCATCGTTAAACGACCCACCGGCGGGTCGCGTGGCGGGAGCCGACCTTATATATAGGACCCACCAACTGACTTGAGTTAGTCCAGTCCTCTTGTCATACAGTCCACATCCTTTGAGTGTCACTTGTTACTTATACTTAATTTATTTGTGTTGTTCCTGTCGCCACCAATGTGGTATATCTATGTGAGTACCTATTTATGTCTCGTCCATCAGTATTTGCTTAGTTGTATTCAAGTAATTCAGTGTTGTTTCACGTTAGTTAATTTCAGTGATAGTTTTTATATGTTTATGCAGTGTTAACGTAATCCAATGCTTTATTTTTATTCTTTTGATGTTTGGATGTTTAGTATCATTTGTGTCTTAAAAGTTTCGATGGTGAATCAATTTGTTGTGACAGCCTACGAGGCTCTTTATTGTGTTAATATTTAATCAATTAAATTCCTAAAGGTTTACTTTATTTATTTTTATTCTCTTTTAATTTACTTTAATTTTTGTTTGGTTACGCCTAGAACCTGGATATTTAAGTAAATTAAGAGACGGCGTAACAGAGTATATTTCTACATTCCTTGCAAGGAACCTGGTAAATGCCTGGATAGATTCATGGATGATAGAGAGTGGTAGTAACTCTCGACAGGAGCTGCCATGCACATTGCACAGGCCAACCGGTCTATTGCAGACTCCTTATTTTCTTATGTTCTTATTTTCTTATGTAAATGCAGCCACCTGCATTGCTGGGGGAGTTCTTAATTCACATTTATTTTACTATGCATGAGTTACTAAATGTTGCATTTATGTTTCAGGTTTTCAATTGCCAAGGAATTTGAGGAAAATTTTTGTTAAATGATAATACAGTACTAAGAGATTCTTACGGGAGGTTTAGGATCAGTTCTTTAAAAAAAAGATTTCTTAGCATTGTTAAGGCATTTGTCTATAAAATGTCTTGGGTAGTATTTTAAATTCAATCCAATATTATAGATATATTTCTATTCCTCATCAATGAATTCCAGACTGCATATTTGTAGAACACGTAAAAATATTGTTGAAAAACTAACTGTGACTCTACTATGGTGGGCAGAATAATAATAAATATATGAACTCATATTAGTAGGTTTCCTATAAATACTGAACTTAAAGGTTATCCATGTAACATGTTGTGAAGGAAACATGTGGTTGTTGGTCTGTCTCGCTGGTAGTGTGTGAAGGAAACTCATGCTTATAGGTCATATTGAAACAGTTTATTTAGCCTGAAAAATACAAATACTGTACAGAGCGAACACTAAGAACACTATTGAGCCAAGTTGAGTGCCTGAACCCTCTTAGTGGCACCTGATATAGTGGTGTTTTTAATTCATGTAACATGTTTTGATGAATACATACAGTATTAAAATATTACCACAGTTATCAATTTTCTTTTATTTCTAAATAGTATATACACATTTTTACAGTAGAGTTGATCTACAGTTTTGTAATCTGATAGTGGGTTGAAGCGATACATGGGTATTATTGGGATGGAACAAAGGAACAGACACACATGTCTTGATGGCAACATATATAATTACCATATTGCAATGATAATTTAAGTCAACCTGACAATACCTGTATATGGTACGTATAATGATTTCCAATGGTAAAGTGAAAGTATAAATTGTAAAGCATTTGTTAAAAAATTATTAATACTTGGACAATAGATGTGGGTGGGGTTAAGTTGTTCCACACTTTCAGACCATGATATTTTATGTAGGTCTGGGACTGAGAGGAGTGCATGGGGAGGTGATCTTAGTAGGTTTGGATGTCTCAATCCTCTGGTTATTCCAGAACTGAAAATATTTTCTCAATCAAGTGATAAACTGATTTAAAAACAAATGGGAAAACAGCAGTAAATGTTGATATCCTAAGATTTTAACACCTTAGATTTAGCAAATAGTTCGTTTGTGTGATCGTTTTAATATATTTTATTTATTTATTATTCTTTTTAAAGTGGTCATTCTCTGCACAACTCTCTTCCGGGCAGCAACCAGGGTTTGTTTTAGTGGTGCCAGAGGCCCCCCACAGTGAATGACAATATATCAAGTGTTGGTCATAATCAATTTCTTTCATCTCTTTTTGCAAATTTTCTTTGGAGTTTGTGTTTTTCTTTTATCATTGCCTTGATTTCACTTGTGATACTCTATAGGGTTTGGAGGTAGATATACATTTTCCTAGCTTAGTCTTAAGGGGTAAGCATTTATCAAAGCTAGCATTGAAGATGCAAGGGAAGTTACAGTAGATCACATTAGGGTTGTCAGAGGCATAGACAAGATCCCACTTAGCATTCATTAAATTGTTTTCTAACAGGAATATATTGTCAGCATAGTAGTCTCTGTATTTTATTGTGACATTACTAGACCTTTCAGGTCTTGTGACTGCTTTATACGTGGCAAAAATGGGAAGTGATCTGAGATATTGTTATAAATAATTCCACTCACACGAATGTTAGGAGTGTTGTTAGACCAAATATGATCTATCACGGTAGCATTTACTCTAGTGGGTTTAGTTATTGTGTTGAAGAGCTTAGAATGACAAGTACCAAGAAGGTCTATCACCCAGGTGTCCATCTCTGATTTTAGTAGAAAAAGGTTGAAGTCTCCTGTGATGTAGCAAAGTTTCCTCTCCAAACCTATGATAGAGATTAATTCTGATATTTTATCAAGAAAGTTCATTACATTAATATGGTGCCTTCTATAAATTATTCCCATCAAAATATTTTGTGCATCGCTACGTATTTAAGTGTTAACACTCCATGAACTCCTTCTGAACCTTTAAAACCTCTCTTACGAAAGTGTTATATACTCTACTTAGTATCAAGACATTGTGCAACACCACCACATACTATTGCAGTGTTTAGTATTGTTAGTGAGTTTGGTCTCATAGAACCCAAGTACCGGTACATCAGATTTATGAACAAAAGAAGATACAGTATATTGTACTGTACACAGCTCTATAAAGATGTCTAAGTGAAGGGAAATACAGTGCTGTTGACAGTATAGGTAATTAAAGAGAAGGAATGAAGTACAGTAGTAGAGAGCTATAGCTAAACTCAGGAGAGTTAGGAAGTAATACCGTTACAGTTGGGCTTGGTGTAACCCAGTGATTTTTGTGGAAAGGTATCAAGGTCAATATGAGGGAGTACTGTGTTGTCACCATGGGTAAAGGGGGTGTAACACATACGGTCCAGTAAATCCATGGGAACAACACCAGCATCATCAGTGTAGAAACATTGGTACTGTTTAAGGAACAGCAAAAATTCAGGTTTACTAAGGTGTCGAAGATAGTTATAATAGTGCAGGGTAATGTATTCACAAATGCTGTAATCAAAACACTTAAGATGACTTGTGTTGCTGAGGGTGACTCCCAGTTTGGGTGACAGGAGCACCTGTCATTTAGTTGTGTGGGTAGTTGTTTCCCACAGCAGAGGAGTTGGACATCAAGTGGGGAATTACTCTTATGTTGGGCTGAATGAGGACGGGGGCAGGGGGTTTATGGGGACCTTGGGAGTGGGGGGCAGCTACAGTGGTGCCCGAGAGTCCCTCACAACAATGGTTTTATGGCTGAGCATCACGTGCTTCCCTTGTCCCCTGGCTTCCTTAAACTGCTCCATTTGCTGTTGGTAGTGGAGAGATGGTCAGCAGGGGTGGCGGCCGAGGTGAGACAGTGGGTTGGACATGTCTGAACTAGTTACCATCCTAAGGGTGGAGGAAAGGTTGTATAAAGGGCAAGTTGCCATCACCAGGATATTGATCAAGACATGAGTGGTGTTTAGATTTTCTACATGTGTTCCAGACACCTGGGTTCTCATACCCGCCCCTCGCCTTCGCTGCCTTCACCACTCTCGCAGTTCTCCAGTGCCCTGCGTGCTTAAGATCTTCCAAGCCTAATTTGTTTCTACTGTGTAACCCTGGGTTAGCATTAACTTTAGTCCAGTGACCCCCATACATAACTTTTGTTGGAATATTTCTGTACTCGATAGGCAAAAACTGCCTGCTGTTTAAATAATCAAAAGTGATGAATTCTATAAAAAAATATGGACAATGGACAGAGAAGTACACACGAGGTTTGGTAACACTTAAGTAACAGTTACGATCTCTTAGAAATTTACCTCGCAATCTCAACCACTTTTGGTAGTCATTCCGGTCAAATGTGATGTCCATGTCAAAATCCCAGGGCAAATAACCTCCCAGTTTAACAGCCCCCAAGGCTGAGCCTGCCTGAAGCTCATACTCCAAGTCATTTGCCTCTGCATAGTCCATCAGGAAGCCAAGGTTATGTTCCATGATGGCTCTACAGCAAGGTGGTAAGAGGTAGGAACTTAAAATCCGGAGAGCATCTTTACAGGTTATGTTGACAGCATCACAGGAGAAATTATGGACTTGTCCGGTGTAAGAGAAGACCTTCTCGAGAGCCCAGTGACGCGCCATAGGCAGCCAGTCTTCACTGGTCATGTTGACGTGATTAGTGAGGAAGAACATGACGTCAGGACACACCATGGTTAAGTGGCCCGCTTCACGTACCTTGGCCAACCAGTCACGATACACGGCTGGGCCGCTGAGGCTGCTAGTGAAGGCCACTTTGTTGACCAGCTTGACAGTAGTGATAAAAGGCGTCAACACATCATCACAGTACATACACTCATATTTAGAGTAATAGTAACCCATGGTGTAGGTGGCTTGGTAGTCTGCCATGCGCTGCTGCAGACAACCATGAATCCAGTGGCCTTGGAGGTCCCTGGCAGCACCCCCGGCCACCTTCACATGTTCCAGCTCATCCAGGACCCTTACCAGCCGCTCCAGGGACGACTGGTTGCTGAAGTGTGCTAGTGACGTGCCCATGAACACATACGGTGTTGTTACCATCTCCACCGCCTTGTTGAGCAAGTCACCTCCACTTAAGGTCTCGTTTTTGATCTTCAAAGCTTTAACATCCCTTAGTGTTGGATCTACGACAACTCTTTTAGGAATTATAACAATAATGGGTATGTCATACCATTTTCTGATCTGGGTGATGACAAAATTAATGGTTTGTGGTGGCCAAGACATGGCTGGTAGCACAGCTGTGAGAACACGTGCGAATGGCGGCACATATGTACAGTTCTCTGGTTCCATACCGTGCTGGTGGAAGGGGAAACCCATCTTAGGACCAAAATACATCTCAGGGCAGACATGCCTAGTCTTGTTAGGGAGGACAGGTGCTGGACCCATATCTGGGATCCTGGCAGAGTAGTCCCAGGAGGAAGAGTTTGGGGACATCCTGGGGTCGAGCTCAGCCATCAGGGGCACCAGCTTTTTCCACCAGTCGTCCTTCACCATCGCCTCCAACCCTGGGGAGAGGGTGAATATTAGGAACATGCACACACCTGCACACGTGCTTGTGTACATGCAATGAGTATGACATGAAACCAGTTAAAACATAGGTATAGGTATGACGGTATGCTACTGACCTGCGTGGGGAGATATAGCCTGGTGTACTGAATATATTGCCTCTGCTAGTTTCATCTTGTACTGCCTTTCCAAAACTTCTCGCTTGACGGAGCATTTTGCTTTAATTGGACACGGATAAGCAACCATCTCAATGGCGCCCAGCGGTGCTTCAAAATGCTTGTAAATAGTAATGAAGGCAAGGAGAGCCACCACCACAATGGCCGCAAACAACCTGGGTAGCCCAGAGTAAAGGTTCATCCGGACTATTTTTATCTGAGGAAGAAAGAAAGAAAGATTTAGTTTTAAGATGGGGGTTCCCTTACACTGCCATACCTTCCCTTACACCACCATACCTTCCCTTACACCACCATACCTTCCCTTACACCACCATACCTTCCCTTACACCACCATACCTTCCCTTACATCACCATACCTTCCCTTACACCACCATACCTTCCCTTACACCGCCATACCTTCCCTTACACCACCATACCTTCCCTTACACCACCATACCTTCCCTTACACCACCATACCTTCCCTTACACTGCCATACCTTTCCTTACACCACCATACCTTCCCTTACACCACCATACCTTCCCTTACACCACCATACCTTCCCTTACACCACTATACCTTCCCTTACACCACCATACCTTCCCTTACACCACCATACCTTCCCTTACACCACTATACCTTCCCTTACACCGCCATACCTTCCCTTACACCACCATACCTTCCCTTACACCACCATACCTTCCCTTACACCACTATACCTTCCCTTACACTGCCATACCTTCCCTTACACTGCCATACCTTCCCTTACACCAATATACCTTCCCTTACACTGCCATACCTTCCCTTACACTGCCATACCTTCCCTTACACCAATATACCTTCCCTTACACTGCCATACCTTCCCTTACACACTATACCTTTCACACTGCCATACCTTCCCTACACCACTATACCTTCCCTACAACAACACCATAATACCTTCCTTACACCACCATACCTTCCTTACACCACTATACCCTTCCCTTACACCACTATACCTTCCCTTACACTGCCATACCTTCCCTTACACCACCATACCTTCCCTTACAACACCATACCTTCCCTTACACCACTATACCTTCCCTTACACTGCCATACCTTCCCTTACACCACTATACCTTCCCTTACATCACCATACCTTCCCTTACATCACCATACCTTCCCCTACATCACCATACCTTCCCTTACATCATACCCATAACTCCACCACCATTCCTTCCCATACATCACCATACCTATCACTACATCACCATGCCTATCACTACATCACCATACCTTCCCTACATCACCATACCTTCCCATCATCATACCTTTCCCTACATCATACCTTCCTTTACATCATACCCATAACTCCACCACCATTCCTTCCCATACATCACCATACCCATAACTCCACCACCATTCCTTCCCATACATCACCATACCTATCACTACATCACCATACCTTCCCCTACATCACCATACCTTCCCCATCATCATACCTTCCCCTACACCACCATTCCTTCCCATACATCACCATACCCATAACTCCACCACCATTCCTTCCCATACATCACCATACCTATCACTACATCACCATGCCTTCCCCTACATCACCATACCCATAACTCCACCACCATTCCTTCCCATACATCACCATACCTATCACTACATCACCAGCCAGTGTTTTGGGATCCATATCTTGTTGATTTCTTCTATTGATAACAAAGAATCTCACTTGAGAAGTTGAGGATGATGTTGACAAGGTGCTTCACATGTAAGGCATTTTAGTTTTCAGTCATACGTGCAAGTCACAAGTCTACAACAATAATATTTGTATTTAGTTATTTAAGTCAAATGAGAATTTCTCGCAATGGTTAATAATAAGACTCACTGTTGAGCTGGCCAAGCTAGATTAGGGAAGAGAGAGGTGTTCGCTCAAGCTTGTGACGTCTCGTAGTGAAGAGGTTATGCGGAACCAACCAGATCTGATACTGGTAACAGTAACAAGCACCTGTGTCGCAAGTGCTTCTCTCGCTGTCACTCTTTATCACCTGTTGTACCAGACCGTGGTGTTACCTGTTGTACCAGACCGTGGTGTTACCTGTTGTACCAGACCATGGTGTTACCTTTTGTACCAGACCGTGGTGTTACCTGTTGTACCAGACCGTGGTGTTACCTGTTGTACCAGACCGTGGTGTTACCTGTTGTACCAGACCGTGGTGTTACCTTGTTGTACCAGACCATGGTGTTACCTTGTACCTGGTGTACCAGACCGTGGTGTTACCTGTTGTACCAGACCGTGTGTGTTACCTTTTGTACCAGACCGTGGTGTTACCTGTGTACCAGACCGTGTGTTACCTGTTGTACCAGACCGTGGTGTTGGTTGTACCAGACCGTGGTGTTACCTTGTTGTACCAGACCGTGGTGTTACCTGTTGTACCAGACCATGGTGTTACCTTTGTACCAGACCGTGGTGTTACCTTGTGTACCAGACCATGGTGTTACCTTTTGTTGTACCAGACGTGGTGTTACTATACCCTGTGGTGTTACCAGACCTATTGTTAGACCATGGTGTTACCTGTTGTACCAGACCGTGGTGTTATGTTGTACCGTGGTGTTACCTTTTGTACCAGACCCTTTTGTACCAGACCGTGGTGTTACCTGTTGTACCAGACCATGGTGTTACCTTTTGTACCAGACCGTGGTGTTACCTGTTGTACCAGACCGTGGTGTTACCTTTTGTACCAGACCGTGGTGTTACCTGTTGTACCAGACCGTGGTGTTACCTGTTGTACCAGACCATGGTGTTACCTTTTGTACCCAACCGTGGTGTTACCTGTTGTACCAGACCGTGGTGTTACCTGTTGTACCACCCCACCGTGGTGTTACCTGTTGTACCAGACCATGGTGTTACCTACCAGACCGTGTGTATTGTACCAGACCGTGGTGTTACCTGTTGTACCAGACCATGGTGTTACCTTTTGTACCAGACCGTGGTGTTACCTGTTACCTTTTGTACCAGACCGTGGTGTTACCTGTTGTACCAGACCGTGGTGTTACTCTTTTGCCAGACCGTGGTGTTACCTGTTGTACCAGACGTGGTGTTACCTGTTGTACCAGACGTGTTACCTTTTGTACCAGACCGTGGTGTTACCTGTTGTACCAGACCGTGGTGTTACCTGTTGTACCAGACCGTGGTGTTACCTGTTGTATCAGACCGTGGTGTTACCTGTTGTACCAGACCGGTGTTACCTGTTGTACCAGACCGTGGTGTTACCCAGACCGTGGTGTTACCCGTGGTGTTACCTTTTGAATCAGACCGTGGTGTTACCTGTTGTACCAGACCGTGGTGTTTACCTTTTGTATCAGACCGTGGTGTTACCTGTTGTACCAGACCGTGGTGTTACCTGTTGTACCTGTTGTGGTGTTACCAGACCGTGGGTTACCTGTTGTACCGTGGTGTTACCTGTTGTATCAGACCGTGGTGTTACCTGTTGTACCAGACCGTGGTGTTACCTGTTGTACCAGACCGTGGTGTTACCTGTTGTACCAGACCGTGGTGTTACCTGTTGTACCCAGACCGTGGTGGTGTTACCTTGTGAATCAGACCGTGGTGTTACCTGTTGTACCAGACCGTGGTGTTAGTGGTGTTACCTGTGTACCAGACCGTGTTACCTGTTGTACCAGACCGTGGTGTTACCTGTTGTACCAGACCGTGGTGTTACCTTTGTACCAGACCGTGTGTTACCTGTTGTACCAGACTGTTGTACCAGACCGTGGTGTTACCTGTTGTAGACCGTGGTGTTACCTGTTGTACCAGACCGTGGTGTTACCTGTTGTACCAGACCGTGGTGTTACCTCTGTTGTACCAGACCGTGGTGTTACCTGTTGTACCAGACCGTGGTGTTACCGGACCGGTGTTACCTTTTGTACCAGACCGTGGTGTTACCTGTTGTACCAGACCGTGGTGTTACCTGTTGTACCAGACCGTGGTGTTACCTTTTGTAACAGACCGTGGTGTTACCTTTTGTATCAGACCGTGGTGTTACCTGTTGTACCAGACCGTGGTGTTACCTGTTGTACCAGACCGTGGTGTTACCTTTTGTACCAAACCGTGGTGTTACCTTTTGTATCAGACCGTGGTGTTACCTGTTGTACCAGACCGTGGTGTTACCTGTTGTACCAGACCGTGGTGTTACCTGTTGTACCAGACCGTGGTGTTACCTGTTGTACCAGACCATTGCGGCGATCAATCTGGGGCTGACCTTTCTTGCACACTGGAGAGTCTTGATTGTTTAAGCAAGAGTTGCTTGCTTGTCTGGAACCACAATGACAATTTTCCTAGTATTGTGATCCTGTGTTGTAGTGCTGGCTCTGATTGGCTGGCTGTCTGGTTGGCTGGCCGTTAGCTGGCAGCTACACTAAGATCAACCGAGCTCACCCGAATCAGAGATGATGCTGGGAGTATGGCTGCTATGTCCTAAAGTCTTTATATTGTGTTTAATTACCACTGGGTTTCTCTTTATACGTTCTGCAAGTGTTATAACTACTGGCCACTTATTTTACTTGAGATCCAGGGTGGGGTCGTTGGCTGACTGTACATGTAAAGTTACCTACAAGGTGTGTACACTTAGTACAGTAAATAATAAATTACTATAAGGAACATTCATTTGTGATACTGTACCCAGTTGTAGAATAATAAGAATGATTATAGCGAGACCTGTGACTAACCAACTCAAGAAATTCATTGACTTAAATTTAGCTTGAAGTAAAAATATTCTACACAAATTAATAATTTATCGAGCAAAGTCATTGAAAGAATTTTTTTTAAGTATATTAACTAAACTATGAACCAAAGATACAAGATGGTTGAATATCTTGTAGTTATGACTCGTCAATATATTATAGTTATGACTCGTCAATATATTGTAGTTATGACTCGTCAATATATTGTAGTTATGACTCGTCAATATATTGTAATTATGACTCGTCAATATATTGTAGTAATGACTCGACAATATATTGTAGTTATGACATCAATAACTATTATGGTTAAACTGTCGGATTCTGCCCCAGAATACGGTAGGATCCCGCCCCAGAAGATGGAAGGGTTCTGCCCCAGAATAGGGTAAGATTCCGCCCCAGAATAGGGTAGGAATTCGTCCCAGAATAGGGTAGGAATTCGTCCCAGAATAGGGTAGGAATTCGTCCCAGAATAGGGTAAGATTACTCCTCAGAATACGCTAGGGTTCTGCCCATGGAGACGGTAGGATATCGCTCCAGAAAACGGTAGGATTCTGCGCCAGCAGATGGTAGGATTCTGTCCCCAAAGACGGTACGACTCTGCCCCAGAAAATGGTCGGATTCCGACCACAATACAGTAGGATTTCGCTCCAGAATACGGAAGGATTCTGCGCCAGAATACGGTAGGATTCCACCCTAGAAAATGGAAGGAATCTGCCCCAGAAGACGGAAGGAATCCGCCCCAGAAGACGGTAGGATTCTGCCACAGAATACGGTAGGATCCCGCCCCTGAAGATGGTAGGGTTCTGCTCCAGAATAGGGTAGGATTCCTCCCGAGAATAGGGTAGGAATCCGTCCCAGCATAGGGTAGGATTCCGCCCCAAATATGGTAGGATTCTGCCCCAGGAGAAGGTAGGATTCCGCCTCAGAATAAGGTAGGATTCCGTCCCAGAATAGGGTAGTATTCTGCCCGAGAATACGCTGGGATTCTGCCCAAGGAGACGGTACATCCAGAATAATAAAAAAACACCAAGAAATGACCTCGAAAACCCATAAGTGGCGAGTAATTAGCATTGCAGAAGTAATTAAAATTTTCTAAAAGCCATTTGAACAAGCAATAATCCAGATATCAAAATTTGGTTAACACATCCTTACGCAGCATGTTCAGGAGTACCTATACTGAGATGTTGAACAAAATCTATTTTTTGGACGAAATGCCAAAAATTGTAAGGCTTACCCCTTACAGGATTTCTCTCAGAACTAAAATTTAATGTGCCTAACTACATCCAGAATAATGCACAAGCACCAAGAAATGGCATTGAAAACCCAAAAGTGGCGAGTAATTAGCATTGCAAAAGTAAATAAAATTTTCTAAAAGCCATTTGAACAAGCAATAATCCAGATATCAAATTTTGGTAGCCTCTCTTAGATCTGAGCACACAACTCTCCGGCTTACAAGAAGCCATTTAGTATTTCCTACTTTCCGAGGATATTTTCTCCAAATTAGTTTTAGTTAGAGACTACCTAAAATATAGCCTTAGTGAACCGGCAGAGTCGTTCACAGATGTTGCACATGTGGGGGTCAACATCACCACCACAATCACCACAACAATCATCACCACCACAATCATCACCACAACAATCATCACCACAACCATCATCACCACAACAATCATCACTACAATCATCACTACAGTCATCACCACAATAACCACAACAATCATCACCACAAGAAGCATCACCACCACAATCTTCACCACAACAATCATCACCGCAACAATCATCACCACAACAATCATCACCACAACAATCATCACCATAACAATCATCACCACAACAATCATCACCGCAACAATCATCACCACAACAATCATCACCACAACAATCATCACCACAACAAGCATCACCACAACAATCATCACCACAACAATCATCATCACTACAATCATCATCACTACAAGCGTCACCACAACAATCATCACCACAACAATCATCACCACAACAATCATCATCACCACAACAATCATCACCACAACAATCATCACCACAACAATCACCGGAACAACATCAACACAACAATCATCACCACAACAATCATCACCACAACAATCATCACCGCAACAATCATCATCACAAATAATCATCACCACAACACCATCACCACAACAATCATCACCACAACAAGCATCACCACAACAATCATCACCACAACAATCATCAT